AAACCATCGCCAAAGGCCTTAAAGCCCTAAGCAGAATCAGAAACATCGCACACCTCCCCGGGACAACAGTAAAATCCATCCACCACCTCATCGTCCAAGGCTTCCTCCCCCACCATCCTATGGGGATCAGAGGCATGGTGGACGGGAGCCGACCACATCCTCCGATCACTATCCCCACTCTACAACGAAGCTGCCAGGATAGTAACAGGCCTACCCTGCTGGACAAAAACCGAAAGACTGCTGAAAGAGGCAGCACTCCCCCCACTCGAACACCTCCTCAACCACAAATCACGAAAATACGGGACGCGCATCCTTTGCCACCCTGCCGACCACCCACTCAACGAAGGACTTATACAGCTCCTCCCCACCAGAATAAAAAACACAAAAGGCACAGGCCTACACCGGATAGCATCACTCATGCTACCATTCCAAGAACCAGGCAACCGCAGAGAACGATGGATCCAAAACGACACCCTCACCAAACGCATGCTGGAAGAATGGAACTCCATCCCATGCACCAATTACCACGAGCCAGGAACCCTTAAAATTCACCCCAAACGAGCAAAACTCCCCCGATCCAAAGCGAAACTCATAAATCGCATACATGCCAAGTCACCAGAATAGACAGACACGCAGCATTCACGGAACCCGAACCCTGCCAATGTGGCTCGGAACAATCCTCCAAACACACCATGATCGACTGCCCGCGATGGGCTCAAATACGAAGGCCACTTATGGATAAAATCCCAGGACCGCACACCTGGGAAAACTGGCTATTCACCAACCTCAACGTAGACCTGATTCTACAATTCGCATCAAAAACCAACCTACTCGACTGGTACGAAATGGACGAGGAGGACCCGGAGGAATGATGAAAGATTTCTTTGTTTTCTCTTTCCTTTTCTGTACCTTCCTTGATCTTCGTTGCTTTCCGTCTTCTTTTCCTTTTCTGTCTCCTTTGTTTTTCCTATGTTTATGGCGGTGGATCCGGCGTGCGATAAGTCCTGTACTTCAAAGCAATATAAAATATCTATCTATCTATCTATCTTGTATCTACCCTCGCAACACCAAAACTTTCGAACAACAATAACTTTTGGCCTGCACTCTCGATAAAACTTTTACTCGAACACGATCCTGTATGTCAATGGACCGCGTAATCTATTGGTATCTTATCGCACATCTGTTCGTACGCGAAGTTATTCACGCTCTAGTCCCTGAGTTGTGAACTCCCACCTCTTCAAACCCTCGCTTAAGCCTCGCAACCGCTGCGAAAACAACAACCAACCTGGCCTCTCCAGACCCAACAACCCACCAACTTGCGGGCAGGAAAAGAACTCTATCAGAAGTCTTTCCCAACCCAATCCGATCCGGGATATCAGTGATGTCCCAGCAAGCCTCGTTGTGCTCCTGGTTCGCAGGGGCCCCCCACCAGGAACCCGGCACCCCCCGCTTTCCCGACACCCAATCGACCCAACAAACACAGTCCACCACAATCGAACAAACCCAACTCGGTAACGAACCTTTTTCCATCTTCGCCGAACATACCCAATATAACGAACCATACACCCCAAAATATGATTATATCCACCCTAGCATCGTCCCTGAGAAACCCACGCAGAATGGACTTGAACTACATCTCTTGGGTAGTTAGAAACGCCCTCACCGTAGCCCTCGAACCCCTCAACCAAACGACCGAACAAATCAACAGGGACCTAAAAGCCACCATTGAAGTCCTATCCACCCAAAACGACTCCCTCAAGCACACCGTCGACGTCCTGGCCAAACAAATGTTTGAAATGACAAAAAACCAGGACAAAACATCGGAAAAACTCCACCGCCTCCAACAACAGCTCACCAACCTCTCTGTCAACAGGCCCAGCAACAAGCAATCAACGAAGGAAGAACTGTGCAATGGCCGCCATCGCTGCTGCCACCATCAATGCCCCCCCACACCTGCCAACAACCCCAACCACCCCAACCACGCCCAACAGCCAAAAGGGAAAGCCAAGGAAACACTGGCTTTACCGGCACCAAAATCCTATGCGTCTGCCGCGGCAGGAAACACAAACCCCGAATTCACGACTGTCACGAACAAGAGGAAAAGCAAACCCAAAGCAGACCCCCTATTCAAACCTGAAATCACCAAACTAAACCGGGAAATAGTGATCGAAACAAACAAAGAACTCACAGCCACCTCATCGGACATCAGAGCCAAAATAAATGGAAAAATCCAGGACCCCGACTGTCAACTTATCGCCGCCCGGAAAACAACCAAGAACAACATCATCTGGAATCAAAGTTCGCAACCCCAGCAACAAAGGTCCTTGAATACAAAAAGGAAATCGAAACTGCCTTGAACGAACTAAAGGTACCCTTCGTCGACATCCGAATTAACTCTAGATGGTCAAAATTCATCCTATATGGCATCCCCACCTCTATAGGCGAAGCCTTCGACGCAGGACAATGTCTAGCATCAGAAATCAGAAACAACTACAGCAACACCTTTGAACTGGCGCAAATCCCGAGATGGCTATCAAACCAGAAGCCGAATCGGAAAGTCACACTCCTGCATGATCATTGCCCTCCCTGGACAATCCACCAAAGAAAACCTCGGCCTCCGATACCTTACCCTCTTTGACAGGAACTGCAAAATCGACAGTTACCTCCCAGCAAACCCAGAGATCCAGTGTGCCAAGTGCCTTGAATACGGCCATAGGCAGGAACGCTGCTCCAATAGCGGAAGATGCGGATACTGTGCCGAGGAACACCAAACCAAAGACCACCCATGTACAGAATGCGCCGGAGGTCTCAGATGCTCACACACACCCATCCGATGCTATCACTGCAAGGCCCCCACAAAGCAACAGACGCCAACTGCCCAGAACGAACCAAAGTCCGAGTCACAAACAGACTCGGACCAGACACAAACCCAAGCACGCTACCAATTCCCGTAGTTATCCCGGCCCAAGACCCCCCACAAGAAGATGCAGCCATGGATAACACCCAATGAGTCACATCAAAAAAACTACGGCTATCGCACAACAACTGAACTGTGCGAAAAACGAGCTCACAACAAAGTCAGTAGTGGAGGAAGCAGAACAGGACCACAACATACTTTTTCTTTTGTTACAGGAACCATGGAACAACAAGGACGGCCACCCACCGGAATCCCCCCTTTTCTATCTATTCACAGCCAGCAACAAGGGCACCAAAGCCGCAACATATATCAGAAAACACGCCAACCTAAAACCAAAACACCATTACACGCACAACAACTTCATCGTCTCCGTCACGGAGGAAATCCAGAACCAAAAGACACAAATCCTCAATATATACTCACCAGGGCGAAGCGGGCCCTTCACAGAAATCTCCCGCCAGATAAACACCATCCAAAACTGCCTCGTCATGGGAGACTTCAATAGCCACCACCAACTCTGGTATAGACACAGATCCCACGACTACACCAACACAATCAGAGCAGACAAATCTGGATCCAAGAAACTCAAAAAATGGATTGACCGACAAAAGCTATCCCTGCTCAACGAATCGGGCGAATTCACACACTTCCCCAGAAACAACAACAGACCAACCATCATCGACCTGACCCTGATCAAAGGACCTATCCTGGACCATGACGTCCGCTGGAACATCGACCGCCATGGCGCAGGCTCCGACCACGGGAAAACCATAGTACAATTACGGATAGAAAAACCCCCCACATACCTAGAAGACTATGGCACCGAACGAACTGGGAAAAACTGGAAGAAAACATCTCAGGCTTCCAATTCCCCCCGAGGCGTGGGAATCCCAGGGTCATACAAAGCAAACAGTCGACTTCATACTTGAACACATAGACAACCTGATAGACCAAGTCACCCCATGGAGCCAAGGATACATCAAATCCAAAAAATGGTGGACCCTGGAGTTGAAGAAGTTCAAAACAACCCTCAACACAGCGGAAAGGAAAGCCAGGAAAACCCAAAAAGAGGAGGACAGAGAAACATTCAGGAAAACGAGCAGGAAATGGACATCACTGATTCGCAAAGCCAAAGCAGAACAAAGGGAGAAGGAACTCGCGTTGGCTAAAGGAAGCACTATCTGGAAACTAGTCAATGCAGGAAGAAGAAGGGATGTTACAATCCCAACCATACAAGGTGAAGAAACGTTTGCGGGGAAGTGCCAAGCTCCAAGAGCTCAACTCTTCCCCACAAATTGGACGTCCCCCAACAACCCCCCACTTTAAATCAGACCCCCATCCTTTGATCTTAGTGACACCTTCCAGGAAGTTACACCAGAAGAAATCACATCCGCAATCAAATCATGCCCAACACACTCGGCCACCGGCCCCGACGGCATCCCATACCCATTCATCCAGGCTACGATCAAAGCAAACATCCAACTATTTCAAGACATGTTCTCAGCCATGTTACGCCACGGAGTCCAACCAGACCGATGGAAAGTGGCAAAATGTGTACCAATCCCAAAACCAGGAAAACCCGACTACTCATCAGCCAAAGCCTACCGACCAATTTCCCTATTGTAATGCTTCAGCAAGGTATTGGAAAAATAGTGGCAACAAGACTATGCACAGCCGGATCCATCCTGGAGACACTTACCAAAGACTAATTCAGAGGCAGACATCAGCAAGCTCGCCTATTACCCAGGGCGCAGCCCCTACGTCCTGGCGGGCATTCTGCGCCACGAGCGCCCAGCGCGTCCGGCACCGCCAGAGTACAACCCTCGCGCCAGGCTCCGCCGCAGGACCGTCCCACTCTCTGGGACCGTCAGGAGATATGGCTCACGTCCGAGGGCACTCGCCAATGCTCTGGTCGCCTGGGCCGCCATGAGATTCCCTCCCCCTCCGGAGACGCTAGGATGGAGTGACTCCGCCCACAGTACCTAGGAACTTTTGCTTCTTTTGATTACGTCAGTAGTACACGCGAGCACTTCCCAATGCTCTCACAGTTTTCTTGAATGCTCTCACGGCACGACGAATGCTCTCACGGCACGACGAATGCTCTCACGGCACGGCGAATGCTCTCACGGCACGCGAATGCTCTCACGGCACCCATGCCCCGCGAATGCCTCCCGCGAACGCTCCCGCGAACGCTCCCGCGAGGGCTTCCGCGAGTGCTCCCAGAGCACTCACCAATGCTCACAGAGCTGAGGCATTTGTCATACCCACTCAAGGTGAGGCAACCCTCATTTGGGCTCCTTTGGATTGATACACCGTCCTCAAAGGATAGGAAGGCCGCACCAGTCCTCAAAAGATATCTAACGTGGGTATCCTCAACGCCGCTGTACGTCAGTCGCGGGATACTGATACGAGCACTGTCCTGTATACTGGTGACGACTACCCAACCTTTGACGGACGTGTATGTTTCTGTCGATTCGTGAAAGGCATAATTAGCCTTGAGGTTGAGGCCATGGTACGGCTCGTCTGAAAAGCTCAATGTCCATGCATAAGCAGCAAACATGGACTGGCATTGACCTCCTGGAGCGAGCTTGCTGGATAGCCAGACTCAGATACTGAGCGGCCGAAACTTTACCTCGTTCTTCCAATCCGCATGCATAGCAGAACGACACGAATTTTGAATTAGAGAGTCCAATTGGGTCTAACGTTCCTAGAGCACTCAAGAATGCCCTCACGGCTTTACAAGTATTCAACTAAATTCATTCCACGTACGCAAGTCTATCCTAGTATTTACCAACCAATTACCAGTCTCCACCTCAAACAAATGGGCCATTCCCAATATACTCCGAATATTAACGACCCACATCTTCTTCCTCCTCCTCCTACAAACCTTCAGGAGCCCATGTGAGCTATCAGTGATACTACGATCCTTTGCCTCGAGTAGCTCACTATACATAGTCTATGTGCTCGCCCCCCACTGTCCCGCAGCTTGAACAAGCCTCGACACGTCCTGGTAAGCGTCCCCGAAACACTCCCACTCCTCTGAGGACGCTACCGACACCCATACCCAATCCTTTCTTATTTTCCCTTCCTAAAAGCCGCGTTTCCCGTACACCTGATATTGTGAACCTCGTACACCTCAGGTCTTTGGAAGATTGGTATCGGAACCTGCAAACATGTGAACATCTCCACCCGGCGCTCTAAATGCTCT